GCTGGCTGGGGAATTCTGGGAGTTGAAGTCCACATCTCTTAAAGTTGCCAAGGTTGAGAAAGACTGATTAGAGAAAGACAGCTGTTTCCATGTCCATCTGTTTATGCCTTATTTCATCTGTCACCTGAGATCATCCAGGTGGCAATGGAAGAAAAAGCTCCCCCTTTTTTTATGGCAAAGACTTCGTCATTGAGCTTGATCCATGTCGTTTTCTTGGCAGCGTTATGGAAAAGGTTTGCCCTTCCCTTTTTTTTCAGCTGCCCTAATTTTGCCTACAACCGTGGGATTTCATGGTGATATTTCAAACGGGTACTACCCCGCTCTAAGAACCCTGCTTAGTTTGGGGGATCAGACAAAGCCAAGAGCGGCCTCTTCCAGTCACGAGCGCTGAAAAGATTCATGCGCCAGCTGCTCTCTTCTCCACTGGGGTCAGGTGAGAACCTTTTTAAAAACCCTCCGATGCCTTTTCGGCTTTCAAGGTTTCATTGTTTTAAACTGCTGCTTTTCACTGCTGTTTTATTGCCTGTTTTTATGTTCCTAGTCTGTTTTTATGGTGGCTGGTCTTGTTCATTGCCCCAGGAACTAATTACTTGAATGGCAGTATTTAAATATACTACATAAAGGCCCCTCTTCTTAAGGAAGGAAATGCAGTCTTGGAGAGAGGAGGTTTAGCTCAGCTCTACAATTATGGTCCGTTTCTCTCTCTCCTCCAACTCTGACCTTTTCAGTTCTTTGCGATGGCTAAATATATGTTTTATAATGCAACTTTCATTCCTTTGCAAATGCGCTAGAACAGATGGATAAAGAATGATTTTCTGCTTCGAAAGTACCTCAGATTTTCAGGAAGCCAGAGGCTGGGGGAGGGGAGCCACAGTAAATGGCAGCCTAGCAGTATAAAAACTGATCTGTTCTCAAAAAGGGGATGCTTTCACCCTTAGCTGGCAGTTGTTGACACCGTTATTCATATGTGCAACTGATGTTTTGCTTTTTGTTTTCCTAAACAGATAAGAAAGTGATGGCTCTGTTGCCATGGGACAAGGGCCTCAAAGTGCTCTGGAGCTTAAAAGGTTACAGGGACATTCTCTGTATTAGATCAGAGTTGTTCCCAACTTGATCGTGCTGTGAAAAAAGTGTATCAAAATCACACCCTTGGAAAATGGTAGGCCTTGAAGAAATTGAGCAATCAGCTATAAAAGTCTGATTTCCCAAGTGGGTGTTATAATAAATTTAAAAGCTAACTCATTAATTGGTCTCAAATTGACATGGGAAACTGATTTCCAGAAAGCCATGGATGAAACAGAACAGAATAAAATAGGGGGTCAGAAACCAAGTTTTCCTTCCTCAGCTAAAATCAAGGACAGTTTGTTAATTTTTCTCCCTAGACCCCTCCAAGTTAGTACATATGAAGACAAAGACAACCAACCCCTTTGGCCGGAATGGGTTAAGGCAAATGTATTTCAACTCAGATGTATGACTTGTCTCCAAATTTCTTCCTTCTGGTTGGAAATATTTTTAGAAATGAGTAAGTAACAGAAAACATGCTTGAGCTCACAATTACGACTGTTAAATTTGTCCTTCAGAGTCAAATTGGGATTTAACATCTAACAATTGGTTGTTTTCATGCTAACGGCTGCTGGAATGTCTCTAGACAAACATGGAAAAAAAAACTAAGACCTTCAGTATTTGGTATTGACATGTGTGGGTATAGTGCCATAGCTGAAAAACTAACTTTCAGTACTCAGTTATGACAAGGCAGAGTTAAACCACTTACTTTTTTTAGTCAGGAGACATAGTTGTTTTTATTTTGCAAATTTTAAAAAATCAACTGAGTTTCCCCAGGGATTGTCTATGAGTTTGGTAAAAAGTTCAAGGAGATTTGTGAGGAAAATTATTTTTGGTGACATGTCATACCTTTCCTTCTCCTCTTTTTAACAGCATTGTTAGAGACCCATATATGAATACAAATATTTCAGCGGTGTATTTTTTGTGATATTTTTATATTTTAAGTTTGGATTTAGTATGTGAAATGTTAAGGTTTAATAAAATGAATATTTAAAAAGAAAAGAGCAAGCAAGACAATCCTTTCTAATTTGAAGAGGTATATTCCCATTTTTCCTGAAAG